GTACAAAAAAAAAAAAATAAAACAGGCCGCAATTCCCTTTTTTTTAAAATATATTTTATTGATTTTTTACAGAGAAGAAGGGAGAGGGATAGAGAGTTAGAAACATCGATGAGAGAGATCAATCAGCTGCTCTTGCACGCCCCCTACTGGGGATGTGCCCGCAACCAAGGTACATGCCCTTGACCAGAATCGAACCTGGGACCCTTCAGTCCGCAGGCCGACGCTCTATCCACTGAGCTAAACCGGTTCGGCCAGTAAATTCTTATGACTTTTTAATATGTCTAAAAGCAAAGGAAAATATAATTAAAAACTGGTAATTAAAAAACTTAGAATTTTGGTTTTAAGAGTCATTTAGGTAATAAGAAGCAATTAGAGACTTGCTACTTCTACTAAGATCATATTCAGAATTTACCTGTCGTCTCCACTTCTCAGCTTTGGGCAACTCAGTACATTCTGAGGCAAGGAAGGGTCTTCGTTCCTAAAAAGAAGCAAATTATACACGTTAGCACTATATTGTATGAAGGTATAAGCTTCATTCACCGTTCAACTGATTCAGGCCTGAAATCTAAGATGTCTAATGGTTTAAACACATCTGAAGTTCCAATTGCAGATCTTAATCAAGCCTTAAACCCACTCTATAGTCTCTATTTAGGAAACAACTATATAAGCAAAAACATTCATTGCATTGTATTTAATACAGTAAGCCAATGGCAACAACTTAAAAGTTCAATAATAGCCTGGCCAGCGTGGCTCAGTAGTTGAGCCTCGGCCCGTGAACCAGGAAGTCACGGCTCTAATCCCAGTCAGGGCACATGCCCAGGTTGCAGGCTCAATCCCCAGTGTGGGGTGTGTAGGGGGCAGCTGATCAATGATTCTCTCTCATCATTTTTATCTCTCCCTTCCTCTCTGAAATCAATAAAAATATATTTTTAAAAATTGTGGTACATATATACAATGGAATATTACTCAACCATAAAGAAGAATGCCCTTGGCCAGTGCTGCTCAGTTGGTCAAGCATTGTCAGGTGCACAGAAAAGGTCACCAGTTCGATTCCCAGTCAGGGCACATGTCTAGGTTTCAGGCTCAATCCCCCGTTGGGGTGCATGTGGAAGGCAGCTGATAAATGTTTCTCTGTCACATTAATGTTTCTCTCTCTCTTTCTCTGTCTCTCCCTCTCCCTTCCTCTCTCTCTAAAGTCAATAAAAATATTTTTTAAAAATAAATGAAATCTTACCATTTGTGATAGCATAGATGGACCTAGAGCAGTGGTTCTCAACCTTCTGGCCCTTTAAATACAGTTCCTCATGTTGTGACCCAACCATAAAATTATTTTTGTTGCTACTTCATAACTGTAATGTTGCTATTGTTACGAATCGTCATGTAAATATCTGATATGCAGGATGGTCTTAGGCGACCCCTGTGAAAGGGTCGTTCGACGCCAAAAGGGTCGCGACCCACAGGATGAGAACCGCTGACCTAGAGGGTATTATGCTATGTAAAATAAGTCAGTCAGAGAAAGACAAACACCATGTGATTTCACCTTTATGTGAAATCTGAAGAGCAATATAAACGAACAAACAAAACAGAAAGAAACTCATGGAGAACAGACTGATGACTGCCAGAAGGGCAGGGGATAGGTTGGGGGACGGGGGAAAAAGGTTAAGGGAATAAGAAGTACAAATTGGTAGTTACAAAATAGTCATGGGGATGTATAATACAGAATAGGGAATGTAGTCAATAATACTGTAATAATTATGTATGGTGCCAGATGAAACTAGAAATATTAGGGGGAACAGTTTGTAAAGTGTATGATTGTCTAACCACTACGCTGTACACCTGAAACTAATACAAAAAAACTGAAGAAAAAAAATAAAATAATGCAAAGAATGGTACATTTTATCCCTAACCTGGCTGAGTCTCTGTGAGTTTGAGATCATTTATTGGTTTCAGGTTAGAGCTGTTCCCCACAGCACTTCCACTTCCTATTATTCAATATTAAATAGAGCTGGGATATCAGAACTCAATTATCATCGTACAAAAGAGACAGAAGGACAAGCAGCCAGATCCTCACACTGCCCCAGGTACAAAGACATATACCTGGAATTTAATTGTATAGATTCATAAGTGTGTCAGCAAGTACAGACAAGAAATAGGAAGATTGGGAGTTTTGAAGACTACTCAGGAGGGAATTTTACCACATTTGTTCATGATATTTACAACTTATGAGAAAAATTTACACCAACCTTCACTTTTCCCTCTTCCAGTTGAGCTTGGCGAAATCTTGCTAAGGCCGTCCTACCAGAAAGAGAGAAGACTCCATTAGATCTTGCTCACAGACTCTTATCACCCAAGTTCCTGGATAGGGTAAATCTGCTCATGACCATATTTAACATCGTGTGTGTGTGTGTGTGTGTGTGTGTGTGTGTGTGTTGTGATTTAGAAACCACAGAGAAGTTATGAGTTTTTACTTTATTTTCACTCCATGTTAGGACTGTGGAAAACTATTTATCAGACCACTGTGGTGAGCAACACATCCAGATGTTAAAGGCTAATATCCTGGGGTGCCCCAGCTGCCACTCTCACAGCCCATGCACCATCCCCAGATGAATGAATGTTCATCTGGTAAAAGTTCTAGGAGCTGTCAGAAAACACTAATGGGGAAAACAAATGGGAAAATATGGGAATACTATTTTAAAGTATGTAGAGAAAGAAACGTGTACCAAAAGGCTCATATACCAAAAGGACCAAATACAAAAAGAGCTCTGTGGTAATAACTGTTACATAAAATTTACAGACAAATCAAGTTGATACTTACATGGCCTTTTCTGCATTTCGGGCCTAAAAGGAGAGAGACGGGAAGAAAAATATCCATTTTTAAAATGACTTGCAACCAGAGGAGCAATGGGCAGCAACAACGCATCCTGGGCTAACCCCTGACTCTGTCTCCAAGGCTCCTTTCCTTTGACTTTCCAGTGAGCCAGAGCAGCCTAGGCTCATTTCTTTCCTATAACATTTCTAGAGACCCAAAGCAACCCTGCCTAGGCTCTCTCCTGTTGCTTCTTCTATCCTAAGCCCTTCCTTGCCCCCAGCTTTAGTAAACATCCTCTCAAAATAAAAAAATATATTATGTGCTACCAGTGTGGCTCAGTGGTTGAGCCTCGAACTATGAACCAAGAGGTCACAGTTCCATTCCTGGTCAGGACACACGCCCAGGTTGCAGGTTCGATCCCCATTAGGGGGCATACAGGAGGCAGCCAATCAATGGTTCTCTCTTACGAATATTTCCTTCTCTCTATCCCTCTCCCTTCCTCTCTCTAAGATCAATAAAAACATATTAAAAATATATATTAAAAGATATCCCAAATCCTGTGACTTTACCTATGCTGCTCCCTCTATCTAAAATCTTTGTCTGCTCCCCAGGCCTTGGATCTGACTAACTCCTAGTCATCCTTCAAAATTTACCTTTGTCATCACTATCCCAGAAGTTCTTTCATGACCCCCTTCTTCCCAGCTAAACTGCTACCCTTTGTCTGGGTATACCACCATGGCACTTTCTATCCAGCATCACAACTGTCTGTTCCCTGGCAATGCAAGTTGAGGAAAACTGACTTTTACAAAGTGAGTTTTATGTAAGTATTGTCACATTAGTGCCAAGTCAATTATCCCTAAAAAACACAATGTCAGGCAGGGTAGATGTTTTCTGGATATAAGTAGAAAGAATTCTTGCTGAGTCATGTAACTGAATTTTATTCTTGGCTCTTCAACTTACCATCCCTAAGAAGTAGTCTCTCTAAGACTACTTTACAACAGTAGGGTGTACCTCTTATCTCATAGAAATGTCATGATGACTTGATGAGATAAATACATAGACATCAGTTATGCAGTTTATAGACACTCAGCAAATGAGCTCACTTAAAACTCCTTTCTGACCCTCCTCTTCACTGGACACAGAAACAAACTTGGCAAATGCTTTTGGGATAAATGAGCACAGTATCTAAGGAATAAAATAGAGGCTCTCGGAAGGGAAGCCATCCTGCTGAAGGCTGAGGTGGTCTGTGCCTTACGTATTTCATTAAAGCCTATAGTTCCTAAATATTTAATTCAGTGTTTCACAATGCTTACTCCATGCTTGAAACACCATGCTAGGTGCTGGGAATTCTGCCATGGTTCTTCCCATGGAACTCACGGGAACGTCCTCCAAAACAATGAGTCAATTATAAGTGATCAGTGATAAGGGTATGTATCCAGGGTGATGAACGTGTGATGGTGACAGTTATATAAAATACCCAACAACTCCTGTAACCATAAATATCCAGGTCCAAGGAGATGCCCAATGCTCGCCAGAGTTCAGAAAGGACAGTATGCAGCAGTAACTTTGGAGCATATCCTCCTACAGAAAGTGCTGCTTCTAGCCAGCTGGTTCCTTTCTTCTTAGGCTCTTGTGCTCATCAATCTACAAGGGCTTCCACTATGCCCTTATGTTGTAATTATTCTATACTGTAACCTTCCTATGACGCCGAGTGCTTCTTATGGGGGCCTCACTTAATGAAAATACTATTGTAACTAACATGTATGCGCATCATTTTTGTACCAGCACTCTCCTGTTTACCCGTGGTGAGCACTTCTTGAATGAAGCCCACTTACCACGCCAGCCCAGAGATCACACCCTCATGCAGTGACACTGTGACACCATTTCACACGTTACTGAACTCCTGCAACGTGTCAGACACAGTGTTGGACATTAAAAAAGCAATGGTGAAAAGACTCTACCCTCGGAAAGTTTACATCCTTCGGGGAAGAACGGACCTAAGTCAATACTCTAGGAACATATGGTCACAACCGCAGTGTGACTTGGGGACAAACAATCCGACACCCTGAATCGGGGCGGTCCTTGTGCCTCTCTGTTCCTTAGTTTCCCCTATCTGTAACGTAAAGCGCTTCGTCCAGATTAAAACACCATTGGGAGATGGTGGCTCTCAACATTCCAGTTTCCTCCTCCAAATTCTGACAGCTAAAGAGAGGCAAGAAGAGAATTCCCAAGTTCCAGCCTAGGAGCCCGAGGCCCGCAGTGATGCCGCCTGAGCGCCTCCGATGGTGCTGGGAGTCCTCACGGCCCGCCGGCTCGCTCTCCCTACATCCCAACCCCCTACTCACCATGGTGCAAGTGAGGGGGGCCGCCCTCGGACCGCGTGGCCAGAGAACTTCCCGGCCTCAGGGGAGGCCAACCCCGGCGGGAACTGAAGATTCTAACCGACGCACCGCCGATTTTTCTGTCGGAAGGAAAAAAAGGGGGCGGGGAAAGAACCGGAAATGAGGGACCGGAAGTGAAATTGAGATGAGCCAGGGAAGGGGGAGGAAATGCAGACTTGCTCTCGTAGGCGGCCTTCCCTTGACTTCTGACGTCACCAGCGCGTGCGTAGGAAGAATGGGGCGTTGGCAAAATTGCGCTTGCGCACCGGCACTGCGACTCTGCCCCGGCGGCTGGTTTTCTCTCGCGAGAACAACTGCGAAATTTCACGCGGTAATTATCAGTACTGCAGGAACCAGCAGTGCTGCAATTGTCTAAGGATGTGTGAAGTTGTCGTGGCTACTCTCTCATGCTCTCTTCTCAATGAATGGACCGAATTCTCACAACCGACTGGGCGGGTTTCAGATTTGCCAAGTGTACTAAGAAGCATTCCTCATTGGTGGCACACAAAGAATCTGGTGACACTATATAAGTTTGAATATAGATTATAGCTACGATTCAGCAGTTCTCAACCTGTGGGTCGCGACCCCTGAAAATACATCCTGCATATCAGATAGTTACATTACGATTCATAACAGTAGCAAAATTACAGTTATGAAGTAGCAACGAAAATAATTTTATGGTTGGGGGTCACCACAACACGAGGAACTGTATTAAAGGGTTGCAGCACTAGGAAGGTTGAGAACCACTGCTCTAACATAAGGAAATAGTGACCTGATTACGTTTACCCCAGCCTCTTGAGACTTGCTTCAAAAGACCTTTAGCCGAAACCGGTTTGGCTCAGTGGATAGAGCGTCGGCCTGCGGACTGAAAGGTCCCAGGTTCGGTTGCGGGCACATCCCCAGTAGGAGATGTGCAGGAGGCAGCTGATCGATGTTTCTAACTCTCTATCTCTCTCCTTTCCTCTCTCTAAAAAATCAATAAAATATTTTTTTTAAAAAAAAGAAACATTGGTAAGAGAGAAGTGGCCGGAATCGAACAGTTTGGCCAACGCTCTTTCCCCTGAGCCAACCCTGACCTGATGAACAGAATGAACTGGTGATTATAATAGAATCAGGGGTATAGAAAGGGAGTGGACTGACTATTCTTGTGGGGGAAAGGGTGTGGGGGATGCGGGAAGAGACTGGACAAAAATCGTGCACCTATGGATGAGGACAGTGGCGGGGGGGGGGGGGGGGG